TGAAAGCTCTCATCCCGCCATACCCGTGAGCGAGACCACCACACTCGATTTCTGTCCGACGACCCCTATTTTCTCCAGTGTCCTTGAACATATCCGTCAACCGGGCCCAGTCGAGCGCGAGGTCGTCTTTCAGCGAGCAAGTGAGAGCAACAGACCTCCAACCGCCACGAGAAGCCTCGTCGGCGTCCGTTCACCACCTGTCATCGCAGCAACGTGCGCGAGTCACACCACCGTTCTCATGCTGCGCTCTTGTTCATGCACCGCGCCATTGAAGACCATTACGTAGTTGCACTAGCGTTGCGCCGCGTTGAAGCATCCTTCCACATTGTGAGAATTCTACAACGACATGATGCGCACCCAGATTTTCTTTCCCGCGGCCGCGACTCCTTCTCCCGCGGCTGCGGCGAACAAAAAATCTCAACTCTCCCGGACTTCTGCTCATCAAAAATCGCAGCCTCGGAGGATCTCGCAGCTGCTGAGCTCTTGTTCACCACGACCTGCGGGTCCCTCCGCGGCCGCGGAGGTGTTCTTATGGTTTTATTATCAGATTTGTGGTAATCGTGATTATCATGTTTTAAGGGAGGGTTTTGAACGTTCCATGCTCTCTTTCACTCGTTCTTCACTTTCTTCATACTTTTGATCGTAGAACTCGGATTTAAACTTGGATTTCATCGTAGCTTTGTGGATTAATCTTGTTTATCGTATTTGACTTTCAATTTCGGTGAATTGTAAGACTTTCTATTCCTTCAATCTATGAATATGCTTGTCCTGATTTGTGAGATTGTTTGTGTTGAATTGATCATGAGAGGCTAAATCTATATGCTAGAGAATAAATGATGATGTTTTGATTTTGTTTGTGATTATCGTGTTCGTAATTGTTCAATTTGTGCGAGTTGATATTTTTCTAGGGTTTTTCATTCTTCGTTCTTGGATTTTGAGAATTGTTGAAGGGTGACACTTCAACTTCCAATTGTTTCAATTGAATTCGATAAATTCGTGCATGATGTTATTAATTCTAAACGGACTAGTTGATTAACTAACTTCTAGTCTAATTTAATCGACTCTTAGAACCGAAAGGGGAGGAGTCGGTCGAAATAGGCTTGTATGAACTACTTGTTCGTAACTGTATTGCCTAGGCGTTAAATGGATTGTTAATTTATCGTTCAAGTTTGTTCTCTTGTTACAAAGAGTTATTGAGGATGAGTACTTGAACGATAGGTTATTCAAATCACTTAACCGAACAAGCACTTGCTTGATAACTGCATTTCGAACCACAACTGATATCCCGACTCTCTAGCTTCTTAAATCTTGTTTGTTCTACGTGTTAATTTTGCTATTTCAATATACTTTATTTAAATTCTAGTAGTTGATAATTTAGAACCAAGCCAATCTTTGATTTAGAATGTTTAGGAATTTAATTTCTTTTTTTTTTTGATTGAGTAAACGTGCATAATATCTCGGCTAACCTTCCTCGAGAGACACGACCCGGTGTTCGAATCTTTTGATTCTACTCCGAAAAAATATTTACAACAAATTGGCGCCGTTGCCGGGGATGGTTTAGGACGTATTTTGTGCGCTTATTCACTTTATTTTTTCGTGTTTCTCTTTGTTTCTTTTTCTTTGTTTAGGTGTAGTTTTTCGTTGTTTTTGTTTTATTTTATTTTTTATTCTTTACCGTTGGTGCTCGTAACCGTTTGTTGTCTGAGTGTATGCGTACCAGGAGTGGACGTATACTATCCCCGATCAACAAATCGATTAACGAGAGCTTGATAGAGCTGCTGGGCGAGCTTCCCTCGAATCTCACACGGAAAACGAGCTTTCCCCCAAGTCATCAGAGGGGAGTAATTCAGACATGGCCGAGCAACAACCTCCTCGCAACCTCCTCCAAAACCTGGCCCAACAAACGATCGGGCCAATCACCTCGTGTATTCGGTTTGGGCAAGCTGCCCGCAACTATGAGCTGAAGATGGTCCACTACAATCAGCTCCTATTGTTCCACGGTCTCCCCAATGAGGACCCACTCTACTTTCTCTGGGAGTTTTACAATGTTCTCCAGACGTTTCATCTGCATGGGCTGACCGAGGATCAACTGAAAATGCGGTGCTTTCTAGAGACTCTGAAGGACCGGGAAAAGGCTTGGTTCATGACCCTAGCCCTGGATTCCCTAACAAATTGGGCCGAAGTCTACTAAAAATTTGTCGGGAAGTACTATTCCCATCAGAAGACCCAAGACATCCGGTCCCAAATCGTCTCTTTCGCTCAGCTACCAAACGAGCCTCTTCACGAGGCTTTGGAACGTTTCAAGGACCTTCAGGCAGTGCCCCCACCACAACCTTGCTCTTGGGCTATGGGCGAACTGTTTCCACGACTCCCTCCATCAGAACTTGCAATACATGGTGGACAACGCAGCCGAAGGGGATATTGGGGCCAGAACTGCCGAAGAGATGATTGCGATTTCGAGACGATGAGTGCTAACTTGTCTCAGAAGAGCATCAGATGGAAGAGGCCCACAGTGAACGAGGTCGGATCGGGCAATAACGTCATGGCCCAACAGTTAGCCGAGCTCACGGAGGAGATGCGGCTATTGAATGCTATAAGTTTCTCGTCGATTCAGACTATGGCAGTGAGTTCTTGTGGAGCATGCGGAGTACAGGGACACAGTTCTGAGGTGTGCCCTATGGCTATCGAGCCAAACTATGGGGGGAGGGGGGCAAGGAGCTAATCTGAATGCAATGCAAGGATATCAGAACAGGCCTAGGAATGACCATACTTGAACACATATAATCCCAGATGGAGAAACCACCCAAGCTCCTCTTGGTCGAACAACAACTTTCAGCAGCCACCTCAGCCCAACTTTGTCCCCCATCAGCAGCAACACATGGGACAAATGTTAAGGTTGCCAACACCAGAAATCGGACCAACCCCACCGAGCATGGACGACAATCTAGACAAGATTCTCAATTTTATCACCAATCAGGATGCGTCCATTAAGCGTTTCGAGACGCAAGTAGGCCAGCTGGCCACACGAGTTGGGAACATCGAGACTGAATTGGATAAAGGGAAGTTGCAGAGCCAGCTGGAGCACACATAATCAGTTACAGTGATCATGTCCGAGCTAAATTTTGCATTTATATATATTAATTTATATTTTAAACATCAAATATTATAAACTTAAAATAATTAGAAAGTTATATATGGTGATAAATCAATCACTACAATACTATAAGACATTTAAGAAAACTACAAAAAGCGAAATCAAATTTATGGTATTGTAGATATCATTTGCTTTGGACATATATAATTTGATAAATATAATTAATAACTATTACTTTTAAAAAATCAAGTGTCGAACACAATTTTATGTTAAATATTATCATTTTTAATTCTTTTTTTATATTATAATTTATCAATAACAACAAATTTACTTTATTATTTTTCTTATAAAGGATCACTTTTTGACAAGTATCCATGTAGTACAAGAGTATCGTATTAGTATTAGTAATATTTAAACGAAAGCTACTTTTCTTATACTAGTATACTTGTATTACATTCTCCTGCTAAGTCTCAAATTTACTTTTCCATCATTTTTGGTATAGTTATTAAATTTTATACAACGTATTATCTCATTTTAAATGTGCTATTATTAACTAGAATAGAAGATGAATCGTTACATCTTATTATTTATTTAAAAAATAGTCTAGAATTTTTATAGTTATTTTATTGTCAAACTTAGTTAGTTTGTGATTGGATATAAATTCATCCAGTAAAAAAACCAATCACGTGAGTTCTTCCTTCCCTAATTAAAGGATAAGTTACTAAAATTTGAATTCTAGTATATATGTAATAATGTTAGAGTAATTTTGTATCTCTGCAAATAAAAATTAATTAAACGTAAATGTGTAATATAAAATATATTTGATAGTATAGGGTGTACATTCATCAAATTGCAATGACAAAAGGCAATCTAGCATAAACGAACATTGAACAAGATAATAAGCAGAGATACATCAACCCCAATGTCACACCTAAGAATCATAAAAATTACTGATTAACACACTACAATCATAATCATCCTCTAAATTTATTCAATCTTAGCCAGAGAAAAAAGGCCCTAAAATTTATAGAAGATAATACATTTTTTATACTGAGGCCTCACGCTTTAATATATAATTTTTTACTCATATGTTTCACCCATATAGAAACGCAGGTAATGCAAAGGCGTTTGTACTCGTGACTCAAATTATTTGTATACAAATCTCATGATTTTTATAAACTTTTCATGAAGGGGTATACTTGAACACTTATCAAGTAGACTAAATATGAATCCCTCCACCCAAAGCGCTTTTTCTATTGATCTGTTTTAAAAATTAGCATTTTGGGGCATAGAAGCTAAACAAATGTACTTTCGTTTTTACCAAACAAATCAGTTTAATCCGCTAATTTATCATCAACCCACTAACATGCTTTCCCTTAATCACGGCAAAAGCATACGATGAGACGGGCGAAAAGTGCACCAAATATATAAAGTCGTCCGGGTGACAATACCAAATATATAAAGTCGCAAAATCTAGATATGATTGAATGCTGGAAAGGAAAATAAAAAGACAGGCACAACAAAATTTTCAGGAAGCAACCCTCAAAAAACACATAAAATATAAACAGACTACCTATATACTTGGTTGCATCACAAACCTATGAATATGATGCATTTTCCCTCTTGCAAAACTTGTCAGGAGTCTCTCTGATAAAAAATGGTACAATGGCAGAACTAAACCTGCAAAGACTGATTGGAATCTTCTGATGTAGAAGAACCAACAAACCCCGTGACCAAAAAGAATACCAAACCTATGTAACTGAGTAGTAATCAATCAGGTCTGATTGAAATGGCCATTTTCGGACAAAAATATGGTGGGACCTGCACAACCATATACCAACTGACCACCAGAGAACAATTGGCCCAACCCACACACCAAAAAAATACCATTCTTTTCACACTGAAATCATGAGGCAGCTGCTGTAGCTAGTTGAGAGGCCTTGGCTAATTTATCCTTCTCAATCTCCACTCTTCTTAGTTCAGCATGATGGGCAACACCGTTGGCAAGAGCTTGATAATGAAAATCAAGTGACTGTGTCAGCTTCTGGAACCTCATTGGATCAGATGCTTGCAGAGCTAAAGATAGAATTTGAGTGTCGATTAGGAAACGGTTTAATAAGATTACCTTAATCCTAAGTTATCTAATTCAGGGTTCAAAGAGCGACAGACTACGAACATACTTTTAATAGTGTCCACAAAGAAAATAAATGGATCAACATCGTCGATGGGTGATTGCAACTCTTCATCATCACTCCAATCGTCATCTGAGTCCTCATCATCAAATTCACTGGTACGGAAAGTCTTGGCCTGCATTATTATCCACAGATTCATAAAGCGCAAGTTGTACAAATAGATAACAAAAAAAAAGCACAAGGCGAGGCTCTCCCAATGTATATTTGGTCTTCATCCCAATAATCTGTGAGTATCGAAGCTAGTATTACTTTCATAGTGCTAAAAGACATCCAGGATAGTAAACAATTTCACGAGTTAACAGACATGCTGTGTACTGCGATAGATGTCTCTGAATTTGGTAAACTGTATGCAACTCACGAATTTCATTGCTATACTGGGGGTGATTGGTTATGAATTCATCTAGAAATTAATTGGTTTTTTTTTAACTATAGTTAATTTTGAAAAAAGTTTGTATGGTTAGTTGTTAGTGAATATGTTAAAATAATATTTAAAATAAAATAATTAAAAATGATATGATGTAAAAGTAAGAGAAAAATGATTGGAATTGATGATTAGTTAAAATTATGTGAGTGGATAAATAGTGAATTAAAGTTGATATGATGTGTAAGAATGATTAGTTGAATGATTGGTTGATATTATTTAATTATATTGATAATATTGGAGATAGTGGAGTTGAGCTAAAATTGAGTTTTGATTGGTTTTTTTTGGGGTGAATTGATAAACAATCACCCCCTTAATAGCTTATTAACACCTTCACATAATCATTGTTTAAAGTCTGGGTACAAGGTTCTACTCACCCTAGCAGCCGATTTATGAAGTTTAGCATTCGCAGCTTCATCTCCATCCTGAGCATCAACCCCCATATCCTTGTCAGAATCATCATCATCGTCATCATCATCATCATCATCATCATCTTGAAAATTGTTCATGTCATCATCTTCACCCTCTTCCTCCTCTTCTATCTTCGCAGATTCTGCTCGAAATTAAAGCGCAAGTATAGGCATCCAAAATAGGACAATAACCAAGAAGCAGAATCTTTATCTGACAACAGTTTGCATTGACAAAGAGTCGCAGCTAACCTAACAATTGATCCTTATAGGCGACAAGCAGGTCAAGAGTGGACTTGAAAACATGCTCCAATGCTTCTCCTGGCAGCTGATCGGCAGGGAGGGGGAGTAATGATGTCAAGCCCAAGCAGCATACCTTTTTATCTTGTTCCCTGCAAATAGAAAAACATGATACACCATAAAAATTAGTCAATTTAGCAGATAAGAAGATGACAGCAAAATCAAGCACAATAAACAAGTACCTTTTGAAGTTGGCACATTTACCACTCTTTTTCGTTTGTTGCAACATCTGGAACCAAAGGTTGAAAACTTCTGTTGTGACATTAAGCTTTTGCAATATGTTAAGTGTCAATGATGCATTGTAATACAGAGCATCAGCAACCTACAAAAAACAGCTCGTCATTTTCCAGTGCTCAACGCCAATTTCTACAAGGATATAAAAAAATGCACAGCTACAATCATTAAGAATACTAGCAACAGCCAGCTCCTCAGGCAAATACAGCCATCCTCTTTTCTAGTTTTTCATTGCCACAATAAGAGCAAAATCAAGCTCGCAAGCACCGCATTGTTTGATGGAAACATAATTTTAAATGACGTATGACGAGGCTAGGCGATTCGCCCATAACCTGGCCACTAGGCGAGAGGCTAGGCATCTAAACACAAGGCGCCAAAGAAGAGAACACAAAATGAAAAGATAGATAGTGCATTATATTTAAAATCAAATGATACAAACAAAGCTCAAATATCACAAATACGAAATTAGAAATGGAATAAAAATAGAAGTAATGCATAGCAGTAGAAATATAAAGATAGAATAAACTAAAATGAATGGCAAAGGATAGAAAACATACACAGATAAGTAAAATAGTAAAATACTAAAACCAGAAAAAAAAAAAAAAAAAAAAAAAAAAAAAAAAAAAAAAAAAAAAAAAAAAAAAAAAAAAAAAAAAAAAAAAAAGGAAACTAAAAATGAAAAGGAGAAACAAAAGAAGAAATAAAGACTACAACTAAAATTGAAAAAGAGAAAGAAAATATGAAAGCACACAGCCAACAAACAGAAAGAGAAAAGACAGAAAAAGGAAAACAGAAATGAAAAGGAAGAAAAGAAAGAAAGGAAAAAGCAACACGGCAGGCAGAGAGAAAAGAGAAAAAAAATAGGCAGAAAATAAAGAAACAAAAAGATCCAAAAGAAAGGAGCAGTCGAGAGGAAATAGAGAAGGAAAACAAACAAAAACCATAAGTGCTGTGCGAATTCTATAAAAATCGCAAGGGTCGATGCAGAAATCTCTCAAAGTACTAAAAAACTGGAGGCTCCTGGGCATGGCTCACCTCCATGTCGCCTTTGCCAAGAGGAAAGGCGTTGCATGGCGCCGTGAAGTGCCCACATCAGTGACGGCGCCACTGCAATTTTACACCCGCCTCTCGCCATGGCAGCATCATTTAAAACTAAGGATGGAAAACTGTCAAACCCATACCTAAGATACACAGAACAGGTGTCATGGATACATGTATCAATGGGAATCACCCAAAACCAGAATAGGAATGAACCAATGGAGTGGCTAGGCTGCATATATGACTCAATACCAAGGGAGGAGAGTCTACTGTCCTCAGGCAGCACTAAAGTTACTGTTAATTGAGAAACCTTTGCTTGTTCAACTTGCCAATTCGTAACAACCACCCTCTGCGCAAAGACTAAATTAGCTGTACTAACATCTTCCAAGTTGGATGGAAAGCAACATGCCAAGATTATTCAAATTTCTAATAGGATGTGTACAAAAGCTTGGAACTGAACATGAAACAGCACCGAGTAGACAAATTGATAAGATCGCAGATAAAACTGTGCTCAAGCAACTGCACAGCTCTTCTTTGCAGAAGAGGCCAAGCATCAGCTATACTACTCAAAGCGATCATGCATCCATCCCAGAGAAGTGTTGTAATACGCAAGCAAATATAATTACTAATTTCAAATAGACTTAACACCATCCTAAACTACTAAAGAGCATTACACTTTCACTAGCAAAAATTGGAAAAAAGAATGCCAAACAAACAAAAAGAAAGGATACTGGAAACTGCTAAGAAACTAATTTTAGCAAAATGCAATCAGCTCCATTACAAACAACAGTTACAATTTTACATTACCATGAGGATACAGATTAGCTATGGAATGAAAGGAAACATTAGTTGCTTACCACTTCCATCAAGAGGCATTTTAAATACGGTCTCTCAGTGCGACGCAAACGCTCCATAGTGATTCTCAAGTAAGGCTCAACCCAGTGATCAACCTGTCCACTACAGTTTTGGAATACCACTTGAATTAACTTGGGTGCCGGCTCAATATCACCATCCTCCAGATTTTTGTCACCCATGACCTTCAAGTAACACAAACATTAGCAAGGAAAGTTTCTAAAGCTCGGTTAACTAGACTCGTGATATGACAAAGTTAACTCACAGATGAAAGCATGTTCCAAAGGCTTTGCTGATAATCTGGCTCCTTGCAAGTAAGAAAATGCGCAGTGCTTCTGGATATATAGTTATCTAAAGGCACCAAGATATCTGAAAATTCCACAGGCATGATAGAAGTTTTAAGAAGCTAATGCAGCAACTTCTACGCACAAAGAAATTCTAACATGTTCAACATCCAAGTTAGTGCACAATATAAAACTGTGAATTAGTTTAATAGCAGGCAATAATAAGGCATGTTAACCAAAATGCAGGCATAATCAGGTACTTTGCAACAAACTGAAGTAAGACAAGAAATCAATGGGACTCTGAAAGTTGAAACTTAAATCAATAGCCAATATCAACAAAAGACCGTAAAAGTAATCTGGTTAGCACCTTTTTTTCTAATTTATATCAGTTCTATAGTAAAAGTAATCTGATTAGCACCTTTTTTCTAATTTATATCAGTTCTATAGTAAAAGTAATCTGGTTATGCACTGCATGGTAGAGATAATGACACAGTTAACTGCTCAAACAAGGCTTATGCCAGTATATCACGTGCGTAGTCTATAGAACCATGGAATAAAATATATGGGAAAAAATTTAAAAAAAAAGTCTAAATTATTGACAAATAACAAGCGCAGAGGTCAAAAAACAATTATGAACAAGAAAAAAAGGTAGTACGAGGAAAACAACACCACACATACCCAGTCAATTGCATATTGTGCATCATTAAGAGTGTAAACGAGCCGAGCTCGAGATTGTAACAAGCTGATTGGCTCGTTAACGAGCCAAAAATCGAGCTCGATCTTGAGCTCGGTCGTTTATAATATTAACGAGTCAAGCTCGAGCCTTAACGAGCCAAGGTATAGAAAATAATATAAACTTCAACTTTTCGAGCCTTTCGAGCCGAGCCAATCTTGACTCATTATCTAAACGAGCTTTAGACAAGCTCGAGCTTGGCTTGTTTATCAAACGAGCTGAGCCAAGCCAAGCCGAGCTCATGAGCGTCTCATTTCGTGTAACAACTCTATGTATCATATAGAAAGGAATACCAGCATAGATATTACTTGGTCAATTCGGAGTAAGACAAGTCATTCACAGGAAAGGATTTTAGAAAACAAGGATCAAAGATGCAAAGCTACGCATGATGAGAATTAAGGTATACTATGAACCATAGTTATTAATAAGCTCACCGTTAACGCTTTAAAATCGAATTTATCACATAAAAAGGTCAAACAAACAGACCAAACAAGCTAAATTGAATTCAAAAATAGACAGCAATGTTATCATTAGAAATTTCTTTTGTAAAGTAGAGGTAAAACGATAGGAACATACTTGGAAAAAAGTCAATTGCCCAATCAGCCAGAGCTTCCATCATTAATGGCCAAAGGCTCCACATTTCCAGTGATATGGTAGGTGAGAAGAATGTCATATAAGAAACCATCTCCAAAACTTCCTCAAAAACCTCTGCAGGAATATGTAGTCGTCATAAGAAAACAAGAACATTTACTAAAGTACGGAGAAGTTTAGCTCTATTTTCAAACTTAATAAATTTATAAATCCAATATGAGCTTCCGTAGTCGAACGCTTCCTCAACCATGGCACCCGCTTAACAGATCAAAGTTACCACTCTCAAATAACTACGTGAATGGAACTCCAGGATCAGAAGGCAAATAAGCATCTGATTGTTTGGATAATTCAAATTCAACTTATGCAAAATTCATGCTTAGGGTTAGCAATCAGGCCTCTGCAAATATCCAACTCCAAAGTTTATTCTAAAAATACAGACACTATGAAATACCAACTTAGCTGAATCATTGAGATGTCAATTCGGTGTTATTTTCCTAAAATTTATGAATTGGCTGAATATGCATCCACTATAGGGAGGCGCACAGCCTTTGTGACATCAATTACACATTTCTATTGAAACAGGAACCAACAAATTACAGCATACAATAAGGGGCAGAAAAACTATGGTAGTGAATAAAGTTAAGAATGGAGCAGCTACCTTGTCCATCTGCAGTCAGCATCCTGGACATTATCGGCAATAAAGTTGGCTCAATATGTGCAAATAGATGGGGCAATCTGTTGACTGACTCAAGGATAGTGCTTATAGCACGCAAACAACCAACCGCAGCTAATGCACCAGGATCATCACCTTCCTCGTCAGCTTCAGCAGTATTCATGCACTTCCAAAATGCTGCAGCCTGAAAGAAAGGTTGGTTGATGCAATAAAACAATACAATCTGTTCGAGATTCCTAATATAGACTGTTCCTACCAAATTCTGGCACAATCCAAGAGCATATGGAGACATCTCCTCTCCAAACTTGTCCACTATTGTCTCCAGAGTAAAAACAAGATCTTCATTCTCCACTTCGTTCATAAGTTTAAAAATCTCTGCAACATCATTTTGAATAGAATAAAAATTCAGTTGTGAATGCTGCTGCAATAAGTGGACCAATGTGGAAGGAACTTTCACAAAATGATATACCATCAAGTAGTTGTGGAAGAATTGGTCTGATTTCACCCAAATCTGTACAACAGAAAAATGAGCGAGACATTTGCCTACCATTAAATTTCTACAGCAATATAAAAATAAAGAAAGGGCAAGGAGGACTGCACCATTGCAGGCTTCCACAAATGATCGCAAAGCAAAAACAGAATCAACACGAACAGGAAGTTCTAGGTCACGCATCCCAGCAACAACGCTGTGCAATGCTCCTCGAAAGTTATTTGGATCAGAGAAACTAATATGTGCATATTGCCCTGCAACCCACGCAGCCTGCAAACCAGTATAATTGAAAAGAAATTGAACAATGCATAAGATATGGCAGAAAATGAACTTAAGTCCATTTTATTTTACCATAGATAAATAACAAATCAACCTTACAAAAGATGTTGAAACACTAAGAGCTCTATTCACTGCCGCAAAAAGTTAAAGCAATCATGGCAAAGTGATATGATCACCTAATGATAAACAAACTTGGCAACACATATGTTATCCATGTTTCAAGAACCAACTCACGGAAAAGGGATGCTGAGAACTTAACCCCATGTTTATTTTTCTTTTCAAATACATGCTACCATTTCCCAAGCGTTGGTAAAAAATATGATATCTTGTGTGTCTTGAACTAGTTTCATCAAAATCTCATTTCCAATGTCCATTTGTCATGTCAAATCTTCCCATATTTATCAATCACATTATTTTTTAGGATGTATGCCCCCATCACAACCAGCACTATCTACTTAATGATACAACATTTGTGAATCGGGACCCACCACCTACAATCTTATTAATGTTATATGATAGATACAACTTAAAATAATGAAAATGGACCCCACCAACAACCACTTTTGGTTACTATATACACAAGACATTATTTAAAAGATACTCATCAGAAAATAATCTCAGTTTCCAAACGGAAACCATGCATTCTCAAAATTCATCCTATAACATTTTAAAATGGATTCGGAAAAACAACACCCATAAATCACAATACTTCACTACTTGTTTGGTTTAGTTAACATATACCTAATGTGTGTGTGTGACAGCAATTCTATCATCCAAGATAAATTACCTTAGCTCTAAGATGCCCCACAGGACTGTGGAACTCAGGGAACACATGTTGTACAAGCATGCGTTCCAGCTCAGACTTGTACGGTTCAGTCTGCTTTAATTTATCACACAACGCTCCAATGGCAAGAAGTGCACCATCTTTCTGTCTATAAGGCTTATATTCGGCTGCTGCTTCATCATACCTGATATATGGTGATGTAGACAGATAAAATTGTTAGATACCATCAGATTATTTAATTAAACAGCTTATGTAAAATGAAATGATACATACATACCTCTTAAATACCTCAACTATAAACAATAAGAACTTTTGGAGATTTTCCTTCCGTTTCCTGACAAGCTCACTCACAAAATCTATTGCGGCAGTTCTTGGGCTATACAAATCCTCAATTATGTCTAAAACCACGAACAGACAAGTAGATGTACAACCTCAATCTAGGAGTTCCAACAAATAAGGGAGAAACTGAAAAATAATATATTCAACAGACCATAACCCTTCCTCACATATTCATGTGGGTCTTCGTTCCAAAGCCGTTGATCATTGTCATTGAAGCACATAAGCGGAAAGATGATCTCGAAAAGAACAACATCCAGCCTTGGTTGCAGCTGACTGTACATAATACTTTTTGAGATACTGCACAATGGCCAAAACCAGAATCAATACAAGAATTGATGGGAATTAGATCCAGAGAGCACAGGTATTAGCTTAAAAAAATCAATTAAGAATGAGGCCTGAGAAACTTTGGATTTAACATTGTCCAACATGCATCAGCTTGCCTCTCAGGTTCAGTAACCAACAGTTAACGACAATAAAGGTACCCAGTTTCCCCCACAAACCAGACGGTCAAATGCACAATCCAAAAGGGGCAAAATGGTATACCACAACTTAAGCGCATTTCTTCTATCGTTCTTTGGTTGATTCACATTCCTAAGGTCATGAGAACTGCCTCAATCATTCTAATTAATATTAGCCCATCCAATGCGATAACATAACATAGAGCAAATAGTATGTGAAGTTTCATTTGGAATACATTAAAAAGTTATTCTAAATAAAAATATAGCAAGATTACAAATATGGGACATATATCCTTTTCAACTGCATAGCAGAATATGAGGTCCAAAGTAACTGTAGCTGACAGGATGCTGCCATCAACCATAATGAACAGAAATTGTTACACTTACCTATTACTTAGGTATTGCAGAATAAGATTGATTACTCGGTCAGGCAAATAGCCACCAACACGAATCACATTCAACAAATTTATATGGCACTCCAAAATCTTCCCTGCGTAATTCTTCTGGAACATTTGGGCAAAAGCTTTGCTATCCGGGTTTTGAAGCTTCACATCCCCAAACCTTGGACAATGCAGAAAGTATCAATTTGAATAAGGATATATCAAAGAACAGGCTCATGGTAATTGATACATTAGATTAAATCAACTGATTTTATTGATAAACCACCACTATAGATTGTAGGCATTTCTTTATTGCGTATGCTAACATTTAAATATCTATAAATAAATAAGGCTCATGGTATATTGGTATATTTCAGTCATATGCAAAAAAGTAACAAGATACCGAGTATAAAGGCGGTTTAATATGTGGGCTGTCCACTTCTTAACTTTCCACCAACCCCATGATTTTCTCAGTTCAGGATCATCAGGTTGTCCTTCTTCAGGGACAGGCCTCTCCAATATATTCAGGAAAAGAATCATCCATGCATTGAATACATTTAGGTCAAACAATTGCTTTGGAACCTCCAGCTGAGGAGAGAACAACAGCATTTTTAGTAGGAATTCGACGTCATATACAATTAAAAGTTCAGGAACATCACGTATAGTTTTTAATTTCTAATAGTATGGTTGGAGTGGCGGGGAGGGGATTTTAAATACAAAATAAATGGAAAAGTACAACTTTCAAACCCTATATCAACACTCGTTAAGAGAGTGAGTTGTACAACTTGAGCTACATGCTCGTGGTATACATGTAAATCTGATATATTTTGTTAAAAAAAAATCTAGTTTAGTTAAACTGACATATAAACATCATAATAACTAAATGACATCCAATGTTATAATGCATGAGGTAGCACAAACAATCTTGAAATTGACGATAATCAGACCACGATATATTACATGGTATGCTCAAAATTATATTCTTATTTAAAGCAGCGAAAAAAGATATATGCATTGTGAAAACACTATAGACCTAGTCCAGTAAATTGAAACAAGCTTAAGCATTACAGAAATGACAACCTACATAGATAGATGACCAGAAAACTTTGCAAATCAGCTTTATCAAATCTGCTATTTCAATTGAAGGATTTGCAATCTGAACAAGCCGGTTAAAAATGTTAAGCAGAGGCGGAAATGTTTCAGCAACAATGTGATTAACCGGTATTCTTTCGTCATCTGACTTAAACCTGCCAATTGCAAAATCAAGAAATCAGCATGACAGGACTTTCTCATATGCATCAATTAATTTAAGGGCAAAAGTAAGGGACATCTCTCATAGCAATGCCAGAGACTAAATATATTGCCTCTTTATACAAGTATTGTTATTTAGTGTTATCAAATAGCCACCATGGCGTATGACAAATTTCAGCCCAACCGCCATGAGAAATTTGTAAAGGATGGCGGTTACGGTGGCACCACAGGCCGCAACAGCAGGATTCAGGCCTGCCACCTATTTCCGCCGTAAGCCATTGATAACAATATAGTGTACTTACATATAGTTTTCCTGGAAAAAGGGAACTTCCACTTTCTCACCGAAAAAAATTAGATCGTCAAAATTTAGGCTAAAATCATGTTTAAACAATGGACAAGATCAGCTCTACAGCTTATCACTGTCTAGGTAAATGCATCCAGAACTTATATTTCAAGTTAGGCAGGAAAAAAGATAACAATATGATCGTGGACTTTGATAGTACATAGTAACTGCAAATTTCCCATGATGATGAAAGATAACAATCTTTATCCACAAAATCAGGGTCGTAAATGAACTCATACATGCATAAGTGTATAGGCAACAATATTGACTATGCTAATCCAAAAAGAATGGATATAAGGCTGGCCAAGGTTCACGTGTAATGATGACACTTTGGCAGAACCTTTTCCTTCACTTAAAGAAGACAAGATCTATCAACAACAATATGAACAAAAGTAAATCAGGGACAAAATAATTAAGGAGGGAACTTCAAATTAACCCACTCGTATTTTCTAGAAAGGATCCTGAGGACAAATAGAGCTCCATAAACTTTCTGGTCCTGCAAATTATGCCTCACCCAATGTAATAGAGTTGGCCACTGCTCTGGGTAATCTGCATGTATAATCGTTTTCAAGCATTCGCCTAGCTGTGATCTGTTTAAACCAGGAGATTGTGCAGACAGTCAGTTTACAGATGCTCCATTCCAACCAAGTAATTCAAGTACACTTTGCTACATATACAAATAACCGCCTGGTAACAACAAAAGTAGAGACTGTCAAGAACCAATTTGGAGTAGCCTTAATTCAGAATTGACTATATTAGGCATGTTATAAATAAATGTCACGAATTCGTCACTAATTGAAGATAGCATGCTAAGATAATAAGAATATAACAAAAGGGAACATCAGTAATACCTCAAAAGTGGGGGAACTTGGTCCACAAAATTGAGAATGTACTGTCTCACTACTTCCTTGTCCCCAGGTAAGATCTTTGATTTTTCACCTATTAGTGCATGCCATGAAAAATATATGTGCATACTCAAGTTTCTTCGATTATCCAATCTCAACATTAAAAAGAAAAAATAAAATCACGTACATCAACTAGCACACTCAGGTCATATCTTCACATTGCAAATTTCACATCAATAGTATATAGGGCTCAAATTTTTTTTTTTTTTTTTTTTTTCAAAAGGCTTCCACGTGATGAATATGTTGTTGCATAAGCCAACTTACCAGGATCATGAGGCTCCCAGTTTTTGGCAATAAAATTCTTGAAAGAAATGCTCGCCACCTGTCTAACTGCCATATCGCAACTCTCTTCTACTATTATCTGCAAAAGCCTCACCAAATGTTGGGGCACGTACTGAAACTGCAGCAACCCAACAAATTATAGGATTAATTTCAATATTATTGAATCCCAGAAGTCAGGAAATTGAACACACGCATCGTGAGCTTTGAGAAGCTAAATTCGCACTTCTCACTAACTTCCAATAATAAAAGAAAGGTTAAATTTTAGTTAATCCCATATAATAGCACCTGATTCAGACTTTCTTCAGCAGCTTTCCGTTCACTAGGATTGGGGCTGAGTGCACCCTGCAGGATCAACACCAAGCTCTGAAGATCCATCTCGCCTTCGCTTTTGTTTCTTCTGTAACAAAAATGCACAAATTCGAATGAAAAATAAAGTCCAAATC